TTTGGATAGAAAGTTGGAAATGAATTTTTCAGTTTAATTTGAATTGGACATTGAGATTCTTATGCAGCCATGAATTTTTTAAGAATTATGCATTTGCATTTCATGAACCAAAAAAATCTTCCCTCTCTGTGAACCGGGAGAAATCCCGTGATTTGCAGAGAGGGCAACTGATCCCAGTCAGTGGCCCCTAATGATGAACAAATTAACTGTCTCTTTTTAATTAATTGTCTTCTGACTTCCTCTTTCTTTTTGCAGGTAAAAAAATATGGAGCATTGGCATGAAGTGGAGAATGAAGAATTTAGAAATAGGATAGAATTTTTATTTTTATTTTAATTCTTGTACATTATTATCATTTAAATACTTTGTAATAAATATTCAAATAATAACAATTGTAACAATTATTAAATGTGAAATAAAAATTCATTTGATATTTAATTCTCTTTCAATTCTCTTCTTTAATTGTTCAATTATTATTTATAGTCCCTTGAAATAAAATAAAATGAAGGTTTAACTTCAAATATTTTAATTCTTAGAATCATAAATAATCAACTAAACCTTCAACGATCAAAATAAATGAATTCGCCATATCCATCATTCGAACACAAAAACTTAATCAGATGCAATTCCCCTTCTTTCTTTACTGATTCTTTTATCAAGCACTGCAACTCCACATCGCACATATCCCTTTTGACTGGTGAATTTCAACCGACTGCCTCATTTACTGATTTAATCAAGATAACGCGAATTTTAACCCGAATCTCGGAACAAACTGCAAAGTGCGGTGGAATTTAAATTCTTCTGAGAATACGCCTATAAAACCTTAACTTCTGATTAAATGCTAGATAACGCTTGCCTGATCAGAATTGAACCAAAAATCATCCCGACCCTAAGCCAACTGTATGAGACAAATCAGAGCTCTGAACATCAGTAAAAAACCCTAATTTTGCTTGAATGTCAAGAAAAGTCCGTTTGTCCGATTCTTGCGCCAGTTTGAAAAGTCAGGAAATGTTCTGAAGCTGAGATTGTTTGTAGCAAAATGCGAGGGCAAATTTTGGGGTACAACAGTGTCATTCCCGGGGCTGTCAGAGTGATACGCACACCTTGCATTAGGATTGTAGCGGGGAGAGGAAGTGTTGGGATTCTACGGAGGCTTTCTCAATGTAACCAGCCCTGTCTTCAACATGTGTTGTAATGCTTGCACCAATGGCATGTTGATCTTTGTAAACTATCTCCTGGGCGCCTCCTGCCTACGCTGGTTAGTATGTTGTTGTTGTTGTTATTGTTGTTGCATTAATGTAGGATTAGAGATCAGTATTGTCCCTACAGATTGGTTGCGGTCACTCTTATTACGACCCTTCTGGCTATACACAACATTGTATTCTCTCGTCCTATTATAAGCCTTCTTCACAGTATTTGAGGATGCAGCCACCTGGATTTTACCACTTCGGATTCCATTCTCAATATGTTCCCCTGTCAGTATTAATTCAGTGAAACCAACTGAAGAACTCCGAAGTAAGTGATTATAGAAAGGACCTGTCAGTGTGCTCATGAACATGTCAATCAATTCCATATCTTCCAAAGGAGGTTGAACTCTTCCTACAAGATCTCTCCAATTCTGGGCATACTCTTTAGAGCCTTCATTAGAGCCCATGGTCATACTCTGCAGTGGCATGCGGGTTGGTGCCAAATCAGAATTATATTGATATTGTTTGTAGAAGGCTGCAGCCAAATTTTCCCAAGTGTGAATATTGGCACCTTCAAGTTGATAGTACCATTCCAATTGTGTCCCAGACAGACTCTCTTGAAAGAAATACAACCACAATTTCTTGTCAGCAGTATGTTGTTGGACTTTCCGAACATATGACCTCGGGAGCAGCTTCGGGAAGGAAACGTCGTCATACTTAGCAAATACAAGAGTTTTGAATTTAGGAGGGATGGCAACTCCTGAAACCAGAACCAAATCATCAAAGTTCAATCTAGGAACTTTCTGGATCTCCATAGCTCTCAGACGCTCTTCCAGCAGCTTATACTTCTCATCAGCAGGGGATACTGCTCATCCAAATAATCATCTTCCTCTTCATTAGGAAATTTGTCAAAACTAGGACTGCTCCTTTCAGTTTTCACCCTCTTACCATCTTTATCATGTTTGTCATGTTCATCGGATGGGATGTTAAGATATCGAGCTTTCTTGACAGGACCTCTGAACCTTCTTCCCTTGTTAAGGACACCATTTGGTTTCTTTGTCTTCTTATTTTTCTCAATGGTGACAAATACTTTCAAATCTTCCTGCCCCTTGACTAAGTTAAGGAACATCTGTTGGAATTGGGCATTTTGAGGTTAGAGATCTTTGACTGTTTGTTCAAGATCCATTTTCTGTCTGCAATAAATAGAAAGAAGATGAGAAAACCTATCTTGAGAATACCTGTTATGATATGCATGGCATGTGGATGTATATGCAATATTTTCAAGGATCTTATGGGATAAAAATATTGGAAAAAGAATCTGGTTGCAACTTTTATCTTGAAGAACTTTGAGTTTTCATCTTTGGACATCCTTCTATCAGAATCAAGCTCACCATATCAAGTTAGTCCTAGCCCCTTGCTAGAAATATAGCTTATAATAATCCTACACCAAAGGTCCCTAAGATCCTTGAAATGGTTAGTAAAAATACTATGTCATGATGTTATGATGTCGTGATGTTATATTCATGTTTAAACAAGTAGCAAACACAAACAAATCACACAAGAGCCTTAGGTTTAAAGGCTTACATGAGGTCCATAGGTAAGTACCCTTCTTTATTGAAGTTAAGTTGGCTCAACCTGTCCTAAAATAGTAATCGGGTTCTAGGAATCTCATATCACAGATCTTTCTCGAAGGTTTTATTTTAGTACAACAATTGTCTTGCCACCAAAACATCTCGTGAGTCGAATCTCAATGAGTGTAGCATCGAGTATCGGGGTTGTTCTTGGGAACCTAAATAAAAAGGCTATTTTCTTGCAACTCATATGTAATCTCTTGTAACATTTTTCTGAGTATAGTGAATTGGAGGAGCTTCTCTCTCCCACAGAGTAGATCGTTTGATTGAACTGGGTAAACAAACATTCGTCTTTTTCTTGCCTTATTATGTTATATTATATGTGTGCACATTATTATTGTTGTAGACCATTTATTTAGATTACTACTATTATTTGCCTCACAGATTGATATTAAAATTTGTCGTAATTAACAATAAGATTCACAACATGTATAACACTTCTTTTATCATTCTCTTAATTAATCAATTCATAACTTATTAAATTTATCTTTTGTTAATTCATAAATATGCGAATTATCGCTTAAATCATTATTTGAAATACTCAAAGATAATATAAACTGACTAATTTGCACTATACGACAAATACTTAAAAGTTCATAATAAGTTAATAACAAACACTTGCATCCAGTGAATAAAACTGAGATATTGTTGACGGATATGCACAACATTATGATTTTTTACAAACCCTAACATATTTCACAAAATAAAACTGAGATAATTATACACATCATACATTAGCTGAAACTACTTAGTTAACACGATCCAGTAGTCCAAAACATCATCAAAAAATAGACCATATTGAAATCAACATTTCACCATCTTCCAAAGACACCTTCTTTCAATTACTAGAACTTTATCATACTAACTTCAACTGCTCTTCACTAACATGTAAAGCATGCACATGTCAATCCCCATTTCGAACAAAGTAAAACACAACACATCATTTGTCCTCAACTTCTTTTTTAACAAATTCATACCAACCATAACCAATTTACTTTTCATCAAGATTCATGCTTGTAGTGTGAAGGTCACATTCATATTCGTCACTTGTTTCTTCATTAGCAAGAATTATCTCTTTTACACTATCGGGTATAAATCCCCTGGATATGTACCTTGGGAAATTCAGCATTACATACAACATACACATAAACATAAGTTAATTAGTGCCTTAAAAACTACATTTAAAGTTAATTAAATTTGATCTATACCAGAACATTAGTTCCCTTCGTCATAGACCGTGTTACCGCTATCTCCCAGTATATTCCTTCATCTTCGTCTTCCTCATCGTTATCCTCATCTTCATCTTAATCTTCCTCATCGTCATCCTCATTGTCAACTTCGTCTTCATCTTCATCTTCCTCATCGTCATCTTCAACTTCAGACATTATCTCTTCATGGCCTTCTTCATTCTCACATTGGTTATTCTGTAATGCATTATTGCTTGCTTCTACTGAATAAGAATTCATAAAAAGCTCATTTCTTGCCTTTCTTATTAAAGACATGACTTCTTCCATGTCTACTTCTAAATCACTATTAAAAACAAAAAATCATTGTAAATAACAAATTTAAACAATTAATTAAGTATGAAAAATGAAAACAACCATTTTGGCCATGAAACAAGATTACCTTTTCATTTTTTTTTTTCAATTTTGCTAACTTTTTCATATGTTGTTTTCGCGCGACATGTTAGCCTTTTTATATTTAACCTACAATGTTGATGCAACTGCAACATAAATTTTTCTTACGATTTGATAACTCAAAGTTATTACATTGATTTATCTTAGAGGGAATCTTTAGAAAATGTTACTTTTTTTGAGGTTTTACACCTTCTCATACGTTAATTCATGATATGTAATGAGTTTATTGGTTCCTTAAACGGTGCATTATTGGTTCCACAAATGATTCTTTGAAAGTGCTACAAATATTACAAAAAAAATGACTGAATGTCATTGTAATATGACTGAATGTTTCTTGCTTTGTTGTTTGCATTTTCTATGATGCTTTCTTAAACAAATACATTGTTCCCCATTTAGCTTTCTTGACACACTTCTGTGTATGCAATATTGCGCATATCAGATTGTCTCCTCATATTTGTTTGCATTACATTATCTCCAACCAGTTTCTTATTTACAATGCGTGCGTTCATTGCAACTGATTTTTCAATTTGACTCACCTTTTCATGCTTTATGCAACATTGTTAATGTCATCTATCTCATCTTCTACCTTAGTAGCTTTCATAATAGCCTTTCCTTTTTCCAATGTTGATTTTGCAACATAAATATCATTGGAAAGAACGCGGTTTTGTTTGGTCTTTGTTACAACTACATTACCATTCTCACCAGCCATAGAATTTTGTTCCCTTCCTTCGTGTCTCATCACATTAACTACAACTAGTGTCTTCTCTACATCCCGTTTTTTCTTTGCAATTGATTTTTCAATCCTACTCACATTCTTCATGCTTTGTGTAGCAATGGCATCAATCTCATCATTTATGTTAATATGATTCATAACATTCTTTCCTTTTTCCATTGATGAATTTGCAACCTCGGCAGTTTTGGCAGCTAATGCGGTGTTAACAGTCTTTGGGATGACTGCAGTGTCTTTCCCACCTTACTTCTCTAATTTTTTTTTTGATTGAAGGTTCGGTAACTTCCATCACCATACGCTTAACCATGTCCATAGTTGTGTTCCCACTAAAAAATCAATATCAGTGTTATAAATCCTAATGTACTACATTTACATGAATATATGATAGATTTCAAAATAGTTAAAAACTCAGACATCCAAACAGTGCAATCGTTTCAGTGAAGCAAATCTTCCATGGCTAAAGGAACAACATCACAAAGAATGGATTATGCGCTGTGTGATAAGGTGGGAAAGAACTGACTGTTTTTGGAATGCTGGTTTGCGTTTTGCGTTTGTTTTTGCAAAATGTCGCGGTAAGCAAGAGTCGCCACCGTCTTTTATTTTATCCAACAAGGAAAGGAAAAAAGCACAAAAAAATTCATTTTTCGAGATGTTTCTCGGGTCCGGGGGTAGATTATAGAAAGGGAAGGTGTTAGCACCCTTTCTATCCGTGGTTATCCACGGGCTCTTAGGTACTTGCTCAAAGTGTTTTCAAAATTTGCTTTTCTTTGTGTTTGTGGGTTTGAAAAGAGTTTTTGTTTGAAAGGTGTAAGCGCGAAAAGTTTTATTTTGTTTTAGAAAGAGCAAGTACTTAAGAACCATCTACCTACTCGAAAAAGGAATCAATTTGTGCTAATGTTCTTTAGACAATGCTACCCCACTATTGATGAGTAGGTAGCGTCGTCGTTGGAGTTTAAGGGTCAATTCGATTTTAGGGACTTACGGTCACCAAAACAATGGTAGGACGCCTTAGCGGTAACCCTAATGTCTTAGATCATTTGTTTTGAGGCAACAATATCTGAGGCAACCGTTTCGAGGCGACTATGATCTTTAGACAAGAGGACGACCTCTAAAGTGACATATACTCAATGACCGCGTACAAAGGCAACCAAGTGGAGTGTACCCTAAGAGTGTGCATGTGCGAGTATGTCGTTTTCAGTTTATTTTTATCTTTGTACATGTTAATGGTGATCTATGTTGATTTTAGGTTAAACATTCAGTCTTATATTTGCAGAAATTAAAGGTACGGAATTTAAACTAAATTATTACAAGCTGTCGGGTATTTACATCGTCAAAAGCAACCCTTTGAAAATAAAAGCAGAAAAAGTAAATGTCTTAATTAAAAATTATTACAATCCGGGAGCAGATACAATAATTCGAATAAATAAATAAAGTGCGCGAGAAATTGAATCGAAAGCGAAACTAGGGTTTTGACCCTCATGTCCTAATTAAGGAAAAAGAAAATGTTTTTGTTGTTTTTATTTATTTTTTAAGAAAAGAAATCAAATTTTAAAATTAACTGCTAAATTAATTATTAAATAAATAAATTAATCATAAATATTAAATAACATATTTTTGGAGTTTTTGTTATTTTAGGAAAGAAATAAAATAATTAAGTTAGCCATAAAACCTATTTATTCTAATTGATTTTAAATATTTACAAAATAAATGAAAGTTACCTAAAATTAATATCCTAATTAAATTAATTAATATTTATTGATAAAAAATAAAATTCTAAATTTATTTGGACATAAAAATATTTTTGTGATTTTGATAAAAAAGAAAATTAATTAATTGTTAGTAAAAATAATAAATAAATTACTTAAAGAAAAATATAGAAAAAGGAAATAAAGGGTGAGAAATGGATCTGATTTTAGGGTGCAACAGTTGTTGGTGTCATGTGTAATGTCTGTCTCGCCATGTACTGGTGTCATGTGTAAGCTGTTCTATTTTGGCCATTTGTGTTTTGGCTTTCGGCCATTTGTGTTCTGGCCTCAACGTTTCTTAACGTTCTCAGAATGTCTGCCTCGCCATGTATTGGTGTCATGTGTAAGCTGTTCTATTTTGGCCATTTGTGTTTTGGCCTCACCGTTCCTTAATGAACCTGCATGAGATCCTATCTAAATCTGCAGTGTTAAATCTCATGAACACATTAAATAAATTACTATATATATCATAAAATACAAATAAAGCCAATATATGAAAAAATTTAATGTTTAGGCCAATATGGCATGTAAGAATGATTATACCCTTTTGATCATGGAGATCAAATCAGCCTTACCCTTACTGGAGAAGTAGTGATATGAATGTTTTTATGCCCTTTTGATCATGGAGATCAAGCCAGCCTTACCCTTACTGGAGAAGTAGTGAGATGTTGGTTTGTAACCGGGATGACTTGTTTGTAGTGAGATGTTGGTTTGTAACCGGGATGGCTTGTTTGTAGTGAGAGAGGGATTTGTAATAAGGATTTCAAGGTTTTAGGGTTCTTGAAAGAATTTGATATTCTGACAGCGTTGTGGCAATGGTTTTTTTTCCTCTCTTTTGTTTGTGTGAAAAGAATGGGATTATATAATAGAAATTAGAGAGAAAAAAAAGGCTTTGAATGTGCAATTGGGCCTCCAATATTCACTTGAGTTCGTCACGTTCTAGGAAAAATCGCAAGGGCTTAAGTGCAATTTTTGAAGTTGAAATGTGAAAACAAAATGTAGCCGACATCGAGAACTAATTCCTGTCCGAAAATTGGCTCGATCGGATAAACGGTGAATTAGTTATGAATTTTTGAAGTTTCAGCTCAGACAAACTTATTTTTGGCTCCAATGTCGACTCTGACACGTTCTTCAATAAAAAACTGGTATTGATCGGAGTATAATTCGGCATTGACTTTTGAAGCAATGTTGTAGATATTTGAGTCAGTGACCTTGTGTAAAAATATGAGCTCAATCCGATAAAAATTGACGGAGTTATGAATTTCTGAAGTTTCGGCCCAGATGAAATAATATTCAGCATTCAGGATTTTCGGCGCGTCACGCGTACTCTGAGCAAAAAATGAAGACCTTTTGTATACCGTTCGAACTCAATACCTTCTGGGAAAACTTATCCAACTCAATATGTGAAATTTTGGCACCGGAACCAGCTCGATACGATGAAAATCGACCAAGTTATGATTTTCTGAACATGACGCAAATAAACTTCGGTCACAAATTTTCTGTATGAAAATACTTGATAAATTCACATTTTTGAAGACCTTCTGATCGAAATTGGCTTCCAGCCGTGAGAGATGAAAATGTAGATAATGTCAAGACGGAATTTTGGCCACCGGAACGGGTTCAAAACAAGTCACGATATTCAAGTTATGAATTTTTTAGCGCGTAAAAACTGCACTTTCAACACACTTTTTTCACCATATTTCTTCGAGAAAACTCACACATTCGGATACCTTCTTTAAAGAATTGACTCTTGAGCCGAACCTAAATTTGAGAATACGTTATCAGAGATATCTTGGCGAAAGAACACCTGAATATGAAGCGCCGGGTTGGACTTGTGAATCTTTGAACCCTGAATCGTTGTAAAACGGCGGACCGATTTTCAGCACGGAAAATACTCTGAGAATATCCATTTACGAAATAAACGTCACTTGTAACCTGAAGAAGCTTGATAAATAAACCTTTATTCCATAACCATAAAACCAATAATATGCGTGTATGAAAAGAGGACAATTTTTGGAGTACAACAGCTGCCCCTGTTCAATCTTCTTAAACTTGAGGATGTAGATTGGCTTTCGTGCCTTTCGTGACCCGAAGGTGGAAGATGATTGAACACTAGAGTGCCCAGAAATTTGCACTCACATGAAGTGGTATCAACCTGGTGATGTCGGGAATGGGCTTACAAATGCCATTTGGAGATTGTTGATAGGTGGTCTGAACTTCGACTGGAATAGGAATCAGGGAGATCTTATCGGCGATCTAACTGAACCAGAGGAGGTCTTGGATTAACTTTGACTGGATCGGCATCAGAGAAATATTCGAATCAATTTAACTGGACCAGACAAGGTCTTGGAATAACTTCAACTGGAATACGAATCAGGGAGATCTTATCGACGATCTGACTGAACCAGAGGAGGTCTTGGATTAACTTTAACTGGATCGGCATCAGAAAAATCTTTAGGAATCGATTTAACTGGACGAGACAAGGTCTTAGAATAACTTTGACTGGATCGGCATCAGAAAAATCTTTAGGAATCGATTTAACTGGACCAGACAAGGTCTTGGAATAACTTTGACTGGATCGACATCAGAAAAATCTTTAGAAATCGATATAACTGGACCAGACAAGGTCTAATAACTTCAACTGGATCGGCATCAGAAAAATCTTTAGGAATCGATTTAACTGGACCAGAGGAGGTCTTGGAATAACTTCAACTGGATCGACATCAGAAAAAATCTTTAGGAATCGATTTAACTGGACCGGAGGAGGTCTTGAATTAACTTTGACTAGATCGACATCAGAAAAATCTTTAGGAATCGATTTAACTGGGCCAGACAAGGTCTTGGAATAACTTTGACTGGATCGGCATCAGAAAAATCTTTAGGAATCGATTTAACTGGACCAGACAAGGTCGTAGAATAACTTCAACTGGACCGGCATCAGAAAAATCTTTAGGAATCGATTTAACTGGACCAGAGGAGGTCTTGGAATAACTTCAACTGGATCGACATCAGAAAAATCTTTAGAAATCGATTTAATTGGACCAGAGGAGGTCTTGGATTATCTTTGACTGGATCGACATCAGAAAAATCTTTAGGAATCGATTTAACTGGACCAGACAAAGGTCTTGGAAAATTTTGACTGGATCAGCATCAGAAAAATCTTTAGGAATTGATTTAACTGGACCAGACAAAAGTTTTGGAAAATTTTGACTGGATCGGCATCAGAAAAATCTTCAGGAATCGATTTAACTGGACCAGACAAAAGTCTTGGAATATCTTTGACTGGATCGGCATCACAAAAATCTTTAGGAATCGATTTAACTGGACCAGACAAAGGTCTTGGAATATCTTTGACTGGATCGACATCAGAAAAATCTTTAGGAATCGATTTAACTGGACCAGACAAAGGTCTTGGAA